CGGCTGCGCGCTCCTCTCGGCGGCGAGCCTGGGGGGGAAGTGAGAAGGGGCGGGCCTTCTCAGAAGGTTCGGAAGTCCTCGGGCCTTCTGAGAAGTTGCCTGAGCCTTCCCCCCGAAGACGGAGAACACCTCTCTGAAGGCCAGAGCAGTTCTGAGACGTCCCGCCGCCTTCTGCGAGGCCTTCTCCTTTCAATTTCCTCACCACCCACCAAGACACCCCAATCCAACCCGAAGGCCCCAATTGGCCCTCCATTCTCAGCGGGGGGGCGTCGGGGAACACTGAAAGAAACACATGAGGACCCCATACCCCCCAAACCTGAAATGTGGGTCTTCGAGTTCGGCTGGGGTGGTCTGGCAGGTAGTCACTTACCCCCCTCGCTCGCCACCGACCCTCGGGGGCCTCCACACGAGGGGCCAGAGCGGAAGCACGTCCTCCGGATGCTATGGTTCTTGTCGGTGCCCTGCTTCCCCTGGATCACCAGGAGTTTGGGGTGCAGCAGCCAGCGCGAGGAGGAACGGCGCAGGGTGCTCACCTTCGGGGGGCCTTCGTCCCAGATCTCCATCGCTTTTATTGTCAAAAAAACATAGCACCGCACTTGCCTCTCTTTGTTGGTTTGTATAGAATGCGGATGCCTCGATTTTGAGATCCTTACGAAGCCAATGGTTTTCGAAGGATTTCGACATGCGCGCGCGCGACACCGCGCGCGTGACGCCGCGCGCGTGTGGACATGTTTTTTCTCAGCGGTCCGTCCCCGATTTCGGCCGCCGGGCGATTGTTGGTTCCACCGCGCCGTGCTTCTGCGATTTGGGCCCTGGGGTGCCCGTGTTGCCTGACCCCGGGACCACGGATGCGAGGGGCAAAAGTTGCCCCTCGGCAAGGCGTCGGGAATTGTGGGGCCGCGGATTGAAAGCATCATGTTCTCGGATGTCTGGGTCCAGGCTGGCCCAGGGCAGGGATGCGAGTAAATCGTTCCAGAGCGTTCCAGACCGCTCTCCGAGGGTTCGTTCTGGGGCGTTTTGGAACGGCCGCGGCGCCAGATGCATCCAGAACCGCGGTGTAAAGCTGTTGGAGCGCCTCCCCCTGCATGTCTCGGACGAGTTTCTCGTCCCGCCGCTCTCGAAGCAGACTTGCCTCACCCCCGCGTTGGATTCAATTTTTCTGCAGAGGAGACGCGGTCTCCTTCATATTGCACCGCTCTCTAAGTTGATTGGCTCCACCCGCAAGGTCGGGTGCAATATGTATGAGTAATTCAGCGCGGGGGACCCCAACCAGTGGATGATTGCAATCTATGCGGCGCAATCCATGTGGTGCATTCGATGTGGTGCAAGGCAACACAAACCAATGCAAAGCAATTCAAAGCAATGCAAAGCGATGCAAAGCCATGCAAAGCAATAGTTGGAAAGCAAATATGCGTCCCTTACATTCCTTATCGAGACTGTGGTGTGGCATCGCCAACGGAAGAAATGCGCATATGTGCGTTCAGCCTCCGGAGCCAGCGCCTTCTGAGTCCCTGCAGTTTCTTGTGGGGGCCCAAGAAGGCCCACAATACGTCCAAACACCTCGATGCTCGAACCTACAACACTCTCGACGTCGCGATTTTGTTGACAAGGTGGCCCCCCTGAGGTCTGGACCTCTGCCGCGAGACAGGCTGATCGCCCCGAGCCGTTGTTTGGACGGCCCTGGGCTCAGCGAGGCCCCCCAGAAGCCGCACAGCGGGCAAGCGATGTCCGACGAGGCATCATGTCTCAGCAACGCGACGGGTCACACGGGATCGTCGAGCCTCGACCTCAGAACGTCGATCTTCTCTTCGATGGTCCGCGGCTCCTCCCCCCACCTTCGTCTCCCCGCGAGCCTGGTGTTCGACCAGGAAGCACAGCACAACCCCTAACCCCAATAACAACGAATTCACGATCGAACTCAGGTCCTCGGTTTGGGGGGATCTACCTAAACAAGTGGTTTCGTTTGATGCGTCTGCAAAAGACCCCAGGTTCTTAATGTTTTTGCCCCTCCAAACTGAGACACCCTCCCAGAGGGTTAGGCGTGGGGCGGACATTAAGTACTGTGCTTGCTACGTCCTGTAAGTGCAGAGAGGCCTCGACATAACAAAAACAACGATTAGGTCCGTGAAAACAAACTACGGCAGCTGCAAGTGCAAGTGGCGCAAATAGAAATGGTAAAATAGAAAGGCCCCATGAGGGTGCAGAGCAACTAAGCATATTATCGTTGTCACTAGGGAGACATGCTCCAACCCAACAAAGTGACATAACTCCTTGAGCAACACAAAGGGAGACAACTGAGCAAAAGGTTAGGGGTGCGCAGCCTCCCGAGGTGCCGCCGCCCGCCGCAGTCGACGTCCGAGTCGGGGCGGCTGCGCGGGCGGCGGGCCCCAAAGACCCTCCGCGCCGCCCGTCATCCACTGCACTCAAGGGTGACCTTTCGCCGGTGTGACCTTTAGTGCGGGCCCAACCCAGAGATCCGACGCTCCAAGAAATTTGAGACGGCGGGGGTTGGGTTGTTTTCGGCCTCTGGGGGCCCTCACCGGGCCTCGGGAACGTCAAAATCGACTCGGGACGAAAAAATTGCTTTTAGGGAAGTGGTGCGGACCTCCAGGGCCCACGCATCGAAAAAATTGGAGCGGCTGGACGTCTGGGACTGGGGTCCCCTGATCACCGAACGCGATGCGGTAGCAGCGTCTTGCGCGCTTGTGTTTGGTGCGCCCGCGGCTTCCGAAAAGCCGCGCACCAAAAGGCACCGGTCATTCTTGCGTGTAGTCGACCGTCAGGGCTCGGCCGCCGCTTACCAGCCGGAAACATATCCTTGTCCCTGTGCTTGGTATATCCCTGCCTCGGTGCCGACCTTAAGGAGTCCCACAGCTTCTGAAGCAGGGGTCGACCGCACGGTGTTTGGGCGATTTCGTGAGCCGTTTTCGTTTAGACTTCGTTTTGCAGGAAAAGACGGATTGAAGAAAGAGCGAGGAAAAACGAAAGTAAAACGAAAACGAAAAGCACTGTTCATGTCGATCCTTGTTCTGAAGGCACATCCCCAGGTTTGCCGTCGTCATGGGCTTGTCGACCTCAGGGATTGGGATAAGCCCGAGACTGGTAATTCCCGCTGACAATCGAGCGCGCGAGGCAGCGGAGCCGCGCGTCACGTCAGGGGGGGGGCTTGTCCCGGAGCCATCTTTGATGGCCCTGGTTGGGCGTCGCGTAATGGGGGGGGCGATAAATGGGGCGGGCAGCGAGGGCTGCAGAAAAGAAGCCCTGTAAAGGGCCCTCTGGTGCCCGAAAGGGGCCTTCCAGGGCCCGAAAAGTGTACCTTTCTTCCCGGAAACGGGCCCCAGAGGCCGAAATCCAAGTAATTCGGCCACGCGTAGAGGGGGGCGAGGGGGAGGGGGGAGTGCTTCTTAGAAGCACCCCTGCTTGGAGGGCGCGGGCTTTAAGTATGGATATAAGGTCCGCGCCTTCTAAGAAGCAGCCTCCATCTAAAAAGCCTTCCCCCTCCCCCTACCCCCCCTAGGTATTGCCAGGCACTTCCCACGCTTCTTGTTGAACGGAGCCGCAGCTGCAGCAAGCATCGTTTAGATCGGCCGAGTTTCCAGGCGTTTGTGAGGGTGCCGTTACCTCTGGGATATACATTGGGTAGTGCCATCGCATCGCCAGTCACACAAACCGCACAGTCTTTCAATACATGTTAGTATATCCCCATCCCCTTGTACCCGCCGCCAGGGATCATTTACGGATCGAACAGCTCACGTCGTCGGAGATCTTGGGCCTCGAGGCTCCACGCCCCCAGAGGTCTCGAACGATCCACCCCGGGACGGGTGCTCCATCCCGACCGCCGTTCTTTGACGGTCGATGGGTCTGGCGAGGGCACCCCTGAGGCCAAGAATATCAAAGGTTGTTCTTCGTTCTTCGTGTTTTCTTCACTACGCGATGGTGGTGCACCCGCAGCGGCGTATGGATATGCTATGCTGCTGTCCATCATGCGCCGCGCGAGATCGGAGAGGCTCGCCCCGGGATATCTGCATCTGGGTCGCCCGCGATGCGGCAGACCGTAAATTTGTCAAGGGCCCTGTGTGGGCCAAACGGCAGCGGGCGAGCGGGTGGGAGCGGAGGGAAGGAGCATGCAGGGATGCCAGCAACCCGAGATCCGACTTCGCGGAGAAATCGCAACATCGCGAAAAATCATGAGTTGAGCCCTAGCTCCCATCTTTCTGCTGCGTTTCCCTGACCGGATCGAACTGTGAGGGCTCCAGTGCCCGAGACAAGGCAAAATTTCCGTTTTGAAAACTTGCACCGCCAGGGCCTGAGGGAAGCTCGACTCCCATACGCAAGGGGGTCATCCGAACCCCCTTTACTGCGTGGAGCGCCTCGGGGAGCGCGGCGAGGCCCCCCCCCCAAAGGCCGGAAATGGCAATCAAAAGTCATTCCTTCACGAAGCGATTACGCTTACATCGCAAATCGTCGTGATCCGTTGACCGTGCATCATCGTGATCTCTCGGCGACAAGAACGCGTCACGATGCTTTGGCCGCAACTCGCCGCGATCTCTTCACGACGCGAGCCCAGACGTGCGACGCCTTGATGCTTTCTTTCTCCATACGGGTCCCCTGGACGTTCCGACCCTGTCCCCGGGACTGCGTTTTCCTCCCGAGTCGTTTCCTGACGGTCCCATGGGGCTTGGCGAGGGCCCCCGGAGGACGAGGACGACGCCGGCCCCCCCCCCCCCCCCCGGGCTCTGGGCCTGCACGCCCCGCCTCGGCGCCCCCCGCCTGCCACGGCCAGGGCCGCGCACCCCCAGAGGTCCACGTCTTGCCCCGGGGGCCACGGGCGCGCGGCCGCCGGAGGAGCAGCGCGCTCCACGGGCGCCCCTCGAGGGCGCGAAGCGAGCCGCGCTGCGCACTGCTCTCCTCGCGTGCGCTTGCTTCACGCGCGCTTCTCCGCGCTTCTCCCCTGCGCCCGTCGTGATCTTTTTGTTTGCACTCCGCCCCGCCGGCGGCAGGCCGAGCTGGCGCGCCTCGGGGAGCGCGGCGCGGCCCAGGAGGCGGAGCTGCGGCAGCGGGCGCAGCAGGCCGAGGCGGGCCTCGCTGGGCGCCTGGAGGAGCAGGCCGGCGCCACTCGTCGCGGCCGTGGGTCTCTGTCGTCGACGACGACGTCTCTGCCGTTGCCTCGCCGTCGTCCTCGTCCTCGTCCTCGTCGACGTCGTCGTCGTCGACGTGGACATGGGCGTGGACATGGGCGTCGACTTCATGGTCGTCGTGGTTGTGGGTCGGGGTGGTCGCGGCCGTGCCTAGAATCTGGCCGTTGCATTTTTTCACGCCAGGTGTTTTCTCTCGGCTTCGGGCTCGAGAAATGCCGCAGGAAGAGATGGGTCTAGGGTTCCAGTCTGGGCGTTTTCGCGATGTTGCATTGTTTCATGACGTCGGATCTCAGAGGCCTGTACGTGGACGTTGTCTTAGTGGTCGTCGTGGTCGTGGTCGTGGTGGTCGTGGTAGTTCAGAGAAGACACCAATACCGCTGCTCGTCTTCGAGAGCCCTCGTAGCCACGGTCGGATTCTCCTCGGAATTCTGGTCAGGACGCGCCCCGGGAGGTCCGAAGAGTAACGGTATCGGTCGGTATAGTTTCGTTTCCCTAGACGTGGTTGTGTGACGGGGTGGTCGCGGTCGTGGTAATCTTGGTCGTGGTCGTGATCGTCGTCATAGTCGTCGTCGTGGCCTCGGTTGTGGTAGTGGTCGTAATAGTCGTCGCCGTCGGGGGCCCGTGTCCACTTGGCCACCCCGAGGGCCTTTGGGATCCGTCGGGGTCGTCGAACATCGAGCCTCGAGACTTCGGACCTCTATCCTCGAACCTCGGTTACGGTCGGACCGAGGTGTAAGATCGAGGTCGACTCGGGGATGGTACCCTACTGTTCTTCGTGTTTGTCGAATGTTCTTGTGCATCCTGGGGGAGGGCTCCCTTCGAGTGATCTGATGGGTTGGGGTGTTTTGGCCGGCGGAGGGTCTAATGTTCTTGATGGATGTTCTTCTGTCCTGGGTCAGACCGTACTTCACCACCCTGCAGAGGCGCGCCAGCTCGCCCTGGAGCTGGACGAGCACGGCCGCGGCCGCGCCGCGCTCGTGGAGCGGCTGCGCGAGTGCGAGGCTCACGAGGCGGCGGGCGCGAGGGGTGCCCAGGATGCCCGAAGGAGGAAAAGCATCGGGAGAGCCCAAGAGGGGGATGGCCAGGGCGCTCGTGTGTGTGTGTGTGTTTGTGTGTGACCCCCCCGTCATCCGTGCCCGGATGGCTCATGGCCGGCTGCCGGCGCTGCGTTGTCCTAAGCTGCTTGAGGGCGCGGCCTTTAGACGCGCGTGCGCGCCTGCTTCTTTGACCTGTTCTACGCCCTGTCGCTGCGGGCGGGGCCGGCGACGCCCCCCCAAAAGTGATGTGTGTGTGTGGTGTGTGTGTGTGTGGGGGTGGGCGTGTGTGTGGTGTGTGTGTGGTGTGTGTGGTGTGGTCCGTGTGTGTGCGTGTGTGTGTGTGTGTGCGTGTGCGTGTGCGTGTGTGTGTGAGTGTGAGTGTGAGTGTGAGTGTGAGTGTGAGTGTGAGTGTGTGTGTGTGTGTGAGTGTGAGTGTGAGTGTGAGTGTGTGTGTGTGAGTGTGGAGTGTGAGTGTTGAGTTGTGAGTGTGTGTGTGTGTGCGTGTGCTTGCGTGTGGTGTGTGTGTGTGTCTGTGTGTCTGTGTGTCTGTGTGTCTGTGTGTCTGTGTGTCTGTGTGTCTGTGTGTCTGTGTGTGCGCGTGCGCGTGCGCGTGTGCGTGTGCGTGTGCGTGTGCGTGTGCGTGTGCGTGTGTGCGTGCGTGCGTGCGTGCGTGCGTGTGTGTGTGTGTGTGAGTGTGTGTAAGTGTGTGTGTGTGTGTAAGAGTGTGTGAGTGTGTGTAAGTGTGTGTAAGTGTGTGTGTGTGTAAGTGTGTGAGTGTGTATAAGAGTGTGTAAGTGTGTGTAAGTGTGTGTGTGTGAGAGTGTGTGTAAGAGTGTGTGTAAGAGTGTGTGTGTGTGAGTGTGTGTGTGAGTGGGTGTGTGTGTGTGTGTTGTGCGTTGCGTGTTGTGTGTTGCGTGTTGTGTGTTGTGTGTGTGGTGTGTTGTGTGTTGCGTGTTGTGTGTGATTGTGTGTGGGCATCATGGTTCGGGCCTTCATCTATCCCGTGAGTTCATGGCCCCCTCTTCTTGCTGTCACTATGGTTTCCTGGTCACTGGTCCCTCACTCGTTCGCGCACGTGCCTCCAGCCATGATGTGCGACACCCCCCTCGGACGACTCTCTGTTGGACGCCCCCGAAAAAACGGCATGAGCATACACTTTCGGAGTTGCGCGCGGATTTCTCGGATCCCGTGCTGCCCCCCTCCGCCCTCCTTGTGGCGCTTCTGGCGTCCAGGGAGGGGGCCCCAGCGCGAGATCCAAGAAATCCGCGCGGGGTTCCAAAAGTTTACTATGCTCGTAGAGTCTTCGTCTTCCTCTAGATGCGGCAGGGAAGGAACCACCGCCAGGCTTGGGCCAGGGCCGTCCCTGGCACCAGCGTGGTGTGTAGGCCCTCCTGGGCTCGTCCAGGAGGGCCTGCGATTTGCGGTTCCTCATCCTTGACAGCCGAGAATACGTTCGGCTCGGCCACCTTGAATGGCCGGTCCTTTTCGGCGGGTCATTCCAGAGGTGACCGCTTCATGTGGAGCAAGTTGGGTTGGGAGAAATGGGCATGCGTATCAATAAGTGTTAGCCAGCGTAGAACCTAAACAGTTCGTGATCGCATTGTTGAGGCGGATGCTATGCAGTGTTGGATACGCGGTGTGAGATGAAGTGGTGTAGGCTGTGTCGCGTGAGCTAGAGTTGTGCAAGCTATGTGGTGCGAGCTGAAGTTGTGTAAATAATGCTGTGTAAACTATGTTGTGTGAGCTTGAGTTGTGTGAGCTGTGTGGTGTGGGCTGGAGGTGTACGATCTGCGGAAAAACTATGTGGTGTGAAAGCTATGTTGTGCAAGCTGTGCGGTGCAAGCTACTTGGTGATAGCTATGCGGTGTGACCGCGTCAGTAATGAATTGCCAACTCCACTGCTCGCGCGAACATCCCACCCTCCCACCCGCAACGTGTTTGGCACAACCCTCCAACGGATCTTACGACGCCAGCCCTGCAGCGACTCCTAGGGGACGCGGCCTCGCTCGACTACCCCCGCCCGCCCGATCCTCACTTCCCCCCGGGCTCGCCGCCGATCTCGGCCATTCGGCAACATCTTATTCTCAGGGAGTGCTCCAAGGCTGTCAGCTGTCCGCAGCTTGCGAGCCTGGCGGTGCGGATCCGTACCAGCGCTCGAGTAGGGGCTCCACTGCAGAATTGACTTACCCCAGAGTTTATTGCCCCGCCCCTTCTCTTAGCATGGGGGGAAAAGAACCCTGCGGGAAACGGGTCCTGGACCCTGGCGCTGTCCCCCAGCACGAGCTTCTCATCCTGCGTCGTTCTCTGACAGCCCCGGGGCTCGCGGAGGGCCCCGTGGGCCCGAAAGCGGCGAAAAACCTCAGGACCCGTTTCCCTCAGGACTCGTTATTTTCATGGCGAACGGTTTCCCGGTCATAATATGGGTCTCCGGCGGCCATTCGGGACGATCTGGACACCCCCGGAACGCTTTCGGCGAGGCGCAGCTGCTGGAAAGCACCCCGAGGCTGGAGGAAAGCATCCGAGAACCGACGACATCGCCTGAAAGCTTGGATCCCGACGAAATCGCCCGAAACGCCCCCGATCGAGGTTCGAAGTTCCTCCATGGCGATTCTTTTCATTTCCTCGGGCGGACCAAGGACGAGGATACATCCGTTCCAGAGCGTTCCAGAACGCTCTCAGAGCGTTCCAGAACGTTCTGAGAAGGCTGCGGCGCCCGAGACATCCTCCAGAGCCGCGGGATCTCAGCGATTCTCGATGTATTATCGTCCAGAGTTATCCTTGTCCTGGTTTCGTCTTGTTTCTCCCCCCGCCGCCGAACCGAGGAGGCGCAGCGGGGCGCGGAGGAGGCCGCGCTCCGCGCCGGCGCGGCGGAGCGCCGCGCGTGCGAGGCGGAGGAGCGGCACGGCGCCCTGGAAGCGCTGCTGGGCGTGCGCGCGGGGGCCGAGGGCCGGCTGCGGGAGGAGGCCGCCGCGGCGGAGGAGCTCCGATGCCGCCAAGACGTCGACGACGAGGACCACGGCGACGTCGACGGACGGACGACGGACGACGACGGACGAGGACGACGACTGACGATGGAGGACGACGAGGACGACGGACGACGACGAGGACGAGGACAAAGACGAGGACGATGGACGAGGACGCGGCGAGGAGGACAAACATGACGACGCGGACGAGGACGACGCGGAAAACAACAGACGACGACGACGACGACGACGACGACGACGACGACGACGACGACGACGACGACGGCGACGAGGGCGACGAGGGCGACGAGGGCGACGGACGGCGACGACGACGACCAGGACGAGGTCGACGACGAGGACGATTCTACAGGCTGACGCCACATCCGCCGACCCCCTGTGGTGGACGCCTTCACGGCGGCGGTATGTGGTTGCATTAGTAGGGTGTTTTGGACTACTCGTGGTTGCGGGGTCGTGTTCGAAAAGCACGAAACTCACGAAACTTCATAATTCCCGCAGCCCTTGCAGAGGCGGATAGGGGTGAGGGGCTGTTTCGAGAAGGAGTCCCCGCGGCAAGGGCACATCAGTGGCGCGCAGGAGACGGAACACCTGACGAGGGGAGTGAAACTCGGTTTCACGGTGCGCATGTGTCAAGCGTATCAGTGCAGCGGCACGTGCAAGAAAAAACTACCGAAGCCGGCTTTCCCCGTGAGGCTTGACGACAATGTCGCGCGCGACGAACAGAAGGGCCCCCTGAAGAAGGGCACCCTGAAGTGCAAGACGTGCAAATAATGCGCATTCGAGCGCCCGTTCTGCGGTTCGTCGAAGTAGGGCCAGGGTGGGCGAGCGAAAGGGGGAGCGAAGCTGATCAGGAGGAGGAAGTTGAAAAGAAGGAAGCGCAAGAGGAGGCGGAGGAGGAAGAGGAGGAACAGGGGCAGGAGGGGTAGAGGGAGGCAGGGAACGAGGCGGAGGAGGACGAAGAAGACTGGTGGGGGACGAAGAGTGAGGATCCAAGTTTGGGGCCCTAACTGGGGCCGTCGTGGGCTTCGCCGACACCCACGGAACGCATGTGTGCACCCTGGATATGGAGATCTTGCGCGGGTTTCCTGACCGCGCAGTCATTCATAGTATTCGGACTATCCCGGCCTGGTTGCGCGTCAGAGTCTCGGGGATGTTTCGCGGGTTTTTGTTCGGAGCGCTCTCGGCGGACGAAAAGGGGGGGGCAGTGCCAGAGTCCTGACGGAAAACTCTGTGGGATCATTGTATTTGCCGCGGCTGACATTCGCAGTGTTCGCCGTGGACGCATGATTATCGAATGGCCCTCGGTCCATCCCGCCACCACGCCTAGCTTGCGGGTCTGAGGCCAGTGGGGTAGTTGCGTTCGCCGTGGGCACATGATCATCGTATGGGTTTCGGTCCATCCCGCCACCGTGCCTGGCTCGTGGGTCTGAGGCCAGCGGGATAGTTGATGGGGTCTCGTCGGAGGTTTCTCGGGGGGGGGACTTGGAGGCATCCCGCCACCGTGCCTGGGTTGTGGGGCTGAGACCAATCGGGTGGTTGACGGGTCTCCTGGGAGGCGCTTCGGGGGCGTCCCGGAGGCTGTGGGTTTTCTGGGGGGGCCCTGTCGGAGTTCCTTGGGGGCTTTTTGGTTGGCTTACAACGGGGGGCTGCTCAGGCCCACTTCTATAGGAGCTTCCACAAGAGGGGCGCCCCGAGCAGTTGAGTAGATTTTGACGTCGCGTGGCTACGACTACCCGACATACCCGTTAAGTTGGTCCGATTGCGTTCGTTCGCGCCGCGTGCCAGTTGCCAAGAGCACGTTCGTGTCCTCATCCCCCCTCCTCTACCCTCTCCATCCCCCCCGATGTTTACTGTACTTTCCCTGCGGGTTTTCCCTAGTTATCCTCTTTCACTTCCTTTGCCCTTCCATTTCCTCCTCTGCCCGCTTCTACCCTTACTCGTTGTCGCTATCCGCAAGTTCCTCCTAGTCTCGTTCCTTCTTCACGCCCTTTCGAACAACTATCGTCAGTTTCGTTGTCCTCTTGCGCCCCCTCTTATTTGCGCCCTCTTCTCGCATCCGCCCCCACTCTTCCGCCTTCCCCGCGCGCCCGTTTTTATATTCGCATCAGATTCCTCATTGATTTGTTTTGCACGTTCCCCCCTCTGCCCACGGTCGCCATTTAGGGCCTCCTGTTGCTCCTCGTTTGTTCGTTGCGTTGTGCCTCCGTTTCCTCGTTTTCCCTCCACCCTTCCACTTCTCTCGTGCTTCCGTTTGGAAACTCTTGGGGTTTTCTTTGGGGCAGTTTGGGGCCTTCTTGGATTTTGTTGAGGAGGTCTTTTGATGCCATTTTGGCGTCCGAAGGTGGGCAATTACCAGAAATCCAACGGACCCCGTTGATACCTCGCCCCCCCCCGCCAGACCCAAACGAGGGAATAGGGGGAGCCCCTCCCCGAACAAAAGGTGCGTTTATAGTGTTGCTTGCAATTTCCGGTGCCCGTAATGAGTGTACATCTACAGTGATTTGTCGATTCCGGTGTCCCTAGTGTAGATCTGAATTGGTGTTTGCCGCTTCCAGTGTCCTTAGTGTAGATGTACATTGTCGTTTGGCCTTTTCCTGTTTGAACCAGCGGTTATCTACATCGGCGCCGTCGGCGCGCGTGTGAATTGGATTTCCGTAGGGCGCGTCCCCAACATCTATATTTGCATTTGGCCGGTGTAGATTGATTTGGGGCCCCCAGATCTACAGTATAGATTGAACGCTTCCGTTTTGCGAACTCTACAGGAAGGTGGGCTTAACGTAGATCGTTGTCCGGTTCCGTTGTGTAGATCTGCACTGAGTTTTTGCCCATTGATCTACATTGTGTCTTTTGCCCATTGCGGCCCCGAGTGTCGATCTACATTGCGCTGGTGCCAAATTAGATTTTCGAGAGCGGACAGGCGATTGCGCCGATGCCGAAATGGATGTCCGAGAGCGGAGAGGGAGAGGGGGAGGAGAGGGGAGGTGAGGAGTGGTAGTGGGGGAGGGCGGTGAGAACGCTTTAGGGGGGCAGCGGTGGGAGTTTCCGTTCACGATATGGCCCGAGGTGCCCTGACGATGGAGCGAAGAGACGGAGGGGCATGGGAGGACGAGGGCGAGGGTGACGAGGCGCACGATGAGGGAGGCCTGGGAGTGGAGGAGGTAGGGGGGAGGGGAAAGAGTGGGCTTGCGTCTGGTACGCAGCACAGTCACGAGTGCTCCACGATTCGCCTGGACACCCTGAAGCCTCCGAGGGGGCGGAGGATCCATGCATGTCTTGTTTAGGGGCCGAATGGCCCCTAAATCGTCATGAAAATGAAGAGCGGGAGGAGGGTGATGTAGGAGGAGGAAAAAGAAATGAAGAGGAGGAGGACAATGAGGAACAGCGGGCATGGAGGACATGGCGGCGGATGTGGAAGCAAACTACGTGGCGGATAAGGAAGAACAGGAGGTGTAGATCGAGGTCCAGGCGGAGGCGGAACATGAGGAGGAGAAGAAGCGGCAAACGGGACGTGGCGGGCGGAGGTGCGTGGGCGGACATGGAGTTTGGGATCGGCGAAAATGCGCGGGCGGAGGTTCGCATTCGAACCGTAGCGGGGCTTCAGGACGGCTTCGGCGATATCTCGCGAAGGATCCAAGACGGTTTCATGAAGTAGAATGCAATCATATGCATAACCACGCAAACCGTTCACGTGCTTCGCCGACCCCCAACACCCAGGCAGCCCGAGCAGGCCAAACCCCAGGCGCGGCTGAACAAATAAACCTTAGCGTGCGGGGCGGGGCGCCCCTGGAACCCCTTGGGCGTTCCTGCAGAAGCAGCCCCCCGCAGTCACCAAACTTCTTGGGGCAACCTGGGGGCGTCTTGGGGCCGAAGGCTCGAAATGTCCGTTCGGGTTCCCCCTCTGGGGCCGTCCTGGGGACCTCCTGGGCCGTCTTAGAAGTTTTCTTGGGCCGTTTTGGGGCCCTCCTGGGCCGTCTCAGAGCCCTGTTGGGGGCCAACTGGGCCGTTTCCGGGCGATCTCGGAGGCCTTTTGGGCCATTGTGGTGGCTGTGAAAACCCAAGCGGCGAATGTGTTAAAATCGTACGTTGTCCTAAGAGAATGGGAAGATGTTTGCTTCTTGGGGCCCTCTTGGGGGGCCTCTTGGTGACCTCTGGGAGTGTCTTGGCGGCATATTGGGAAAACGCGCCAGTGGATCTCCCTGAATACACAAATGGGGGGGGGGTGCAGAACCCCCCCCCCCTTCCAAGGGGGGGTGAGATTTCCGACCTCCCCCCCCCATCCCCCCCTTGAGGGGAGGGGGGGGTCCGACCCCCCCCCCTCCCCCTCTCGCCTTGAAGGGGGGGGGGTCCGGACCCCCCCCCCTCCCTCCTTGGCGCTGGAAAGGGGGGGGGGGGGTCGGACCCCCCCCCCCATTCTCCCTTTTGCGCCGGAAAGGGAGCCGGGGAGGGGGGGCCTCTCTCGCTTCTTCTTTCTGCGCCGGAAAAGGTGTGCATGGAGTACGGAGGTGGGAGAAGGGAGTGGTGAGCAGTGAGTAGCGAGTTACTGCGTAGTGAGTAGTGAGTATTGGGTAGTGAGTAGTGGGTAATGAATGGCGAGTAGGGAGTAGGGAGTGGGGAGTAGTGAGTAGTGAGCAGTGAATAGTGTGTACTGAAAAGTGAGTAGTGAGTGGCGAGAGTAGTGAGTAGTGAGTAGCGAGTAGCGAGTAGTGGGGACTAAGTAGGTAGCAGGGAGTAATGAGTAGTGGGTAGTGAGTAGTGGGTAGTGACTAGTGGATGGCGAGTAGTGAGTAGTGAGTAACTGGTAGTGCGCAGCGCGTAGTGAGTAGTGAGTAGTGAGGAATGAGTAGTGGGTAGTGAGTAGTGAGTAGTGAGTGGACAGTAGCGAGTAGTGAGTAGTGATGAGTAGTGAGAACTGAGTAGTACGTAGTACGTACTGGGTAGTGAGTAGTGAGTAGTGATGAATTGAGAGTAGTGGCAATGGGTAGTGAGTAGTGAATAGC